CATTCCGGATCTTCACGCGAATGTGCGTCTTACCCCGGCGGAGGGGGAGGAGCGCTGGCTGCGTACTTTTGCGCGTGCGCCCTGCAGGCCCCGGCTCGGCCGGGGGTGGCGCTGCAGGCTCCTTTCGGGCCGGGCCGCTCCCAGCGTCGGGGGCGCAGCGTGGGCTCGTCTCACACCTGCCCCGCGCCCGGCAGGGCTTGCTCTTCTGGCTGGGTGCGGCCCTGCGCGCCGAGCACCTCCGCGTGCTTTGCCATGCCTGAGCGGGGCGGGGGTCTTCTGCGGGGCTGGGCCCGGCCGGGCTGGCAGTGCCGCGGGCGTCAGGATTGTTTTCAGCAAAAGGCTCCATCTGTGTTTTCTGTCCCAACAGTTTCCCTTGTGCGCACTAATATCTCTCTCCTCCTTTGTCTCTTAGTTTGGGGTTGGGCGAAATAGCCAAGCATGCTGGATTTTTTCATGCAAGAGTCTGCTCATGCTCTTCAGACTAATTTCCAGTCGGCTGTGGCACGTTTCTGCCCCCTGAGGAGCTTCTCAGAAACCCCGGTTGATCTGGGTAGGTGGTGGCCCCGCCCACCCCTCGGCTCCTGGGCTCCTCCTCTGGCTCCTTTGCTGCACTGCGCATGCTGCGAGTCCCCCTCTGCAGTAGCCTGGGAGCCGGCCGCTCTGAGCGTGGACTCCAAGCATGTCGCAGCCTGGCCCCCCACAATCGCTAGGGGCTGCCGGAGGTTCCATGCGCGTGCGGCACGCATGTGGACCTGTACTTGGGAGCAAAGGGTATCTGCAACACCCCAGAGAAGTAACTCAGAAAGGTCTGTCAGTTTCATTTTATAAAGCGCTTTGCAAAACAAGAATCAGGAGAGAAATCAATGCACCACATTTCCAACATGTTTTATTAAAAACCAAAGACATTGCTGATAATAGTGCCATTGCTGCTGAAGCAGCTTATGTGTACCATGCAGTTGTATGTTATCACAGCTACTTGTTGCCTGACTGGGATGAAGCTGACCGACAAAAGTATTTCTAATTCCAACTTGAATAAAAAAATCACTGCAGAAGAACAAAGTCTGGACGTTTTATGTAAAGTGTTTGGATACCTTATTCAATCACATTGCATTTGGGTAATTTTCAATACAGTCGTTTTTTACAGGTATGACCCTTCAAATGAAGGCAAAATTAAATATTACCTATTGGTTGTGTGGTATTTTTCACTGTTCAACAGTGTTAGTTTCCTTGATTAAACAGCTGATGCCCATAAGCAACTGGATTTATACAGTTCTGAATTAAATTAAAAATGGAAACATTGGAAAATGAGAAATTTAGCATCCTTTTGAAATACTAGTGACTAATTTTCAATGGGAAGAAAAGCCACACATTAATATGGGACTTTATCACTAACCAAGAATGTGAGCCGGCACGTGACAAAGGCCTCTTTTTTCCTGAATCTACTTGTATTTTGCACAAAGCTACATGAATGTTTCTCACGTGGCAATCAAAATGTTTGAAAGTCATGCAACTAGCCAGCAGGTATGTATGGAGTAGTGAAAAATCTGAGTGCCAATCTGTAGAAGAAGCTCTGAGACTGCATCTTTGGTTTCATAGTGAACCAGAGCTTAAAGAAGTTGCCTACATTCTTCAGACTGCATTAAATTAAATGAACTGAAGGTGTGAAGAATAGCATCCATTACTTGGGCCATGCCTGTACCACCTGAAGACTGCCTCAGAAGGTGGTGCAATCCAGCCTATTATTCCCATTTCCACACTGCCCTTGTCATGGATGTATCAAAGCCCACTCACACACAAAGGTGGTAATATTGCATCCATTCTTGATTACAATGCAGAAAGCAAAGGGGTGGTTTTCTTTCCTGCAGTGTTCTCTTGCACACCAGCAACAAGAGCATGTCCTTGATGCAAGGCCTTTGAAACACTTATCAGTTCTTAGTTTTCATATTTGGTTTGTATTTGAGGAGCTGATGCACTTTGTTAAAACTTCAGTATAGCAGTACTGAATGGAGGAGCATTGTACAATGAATAAGGGGTCTACTGAATACAAGGAGGCGGCTGGCTGGTTTCACAGGCAGATCCCAGGGCCGGTTACCATTTTCATGGGCTGAGTGCAACAGCCCCACACATGCCTCTGATTTGGAGATTGCACCAAACTGCTGATTAGATTGCTTAATAATGCATCAATTAATGGCTTTCTCAGGCTTAATCAGGATTAAGCCCACAGAAGCCATTAATTGACATGTTATTAAGCAATCTAAGCACTTAAACTCTAAAATTAATTATATTAACTAAACTCTAAAATTAATTATCATAAAGCTGTGCACAGCATAAATTGTAACCAGTACCATCTAAGCACTTAATTAAACTCCAAACTGAAGTATCTTATATAAATAAAGCTATACACAACATGAATTGCAACTAATACAACCATATACACTTTATCAAAGGACATAAAAAGGAGTTTACTGAAACTGATGTTAACCTTGAGACAGACAATTCATGCTATTAAATGCGAGCATGCTGCATCCAATCACAGTTGCTGCAGACATTCTCTGTCTCTGTGGGGTGAACACTTGTCCATACATTGAGATAGCAAGCTCAGCATCTACTGAGTTCATTGGAATGGTGAGGAAGCAACTTGTCAGGATGTACAGATGTGGAAACTGGTCACAGAGTCCCTGAACACAGGCACAGGCACAGGCATCTGGCACTCTTCGACAAAGTTCATGTAAGCAACACTTTCATTGTCATGTTCTTTCCCCCATCCCAGGATTGCTTTCAGTAGGTGAGGATCACAACTCAGAAAAGGCACCTGGTTGGGGTTCAAAATGTGAACAGCACTAAGGAAGGGGGCAGCCAGTTGTCCCTGTGGTACAACTGCAGTTCAGACAGATGGGTCATTCCTGTACTGCTGGTTCAGCTTCACAACTGTTGTCTGGAACAGGTCTCCTCTCCAGTGGTTTTCATGAGGACAGTTTGGCAGTTCTTGCAATACCATGTTTTCAGTCCAGCTTATCAAATCCAGCAGCTTGTTGTGTGTGTGGTGGATCACAGCTGGCTGGCCTTCAAACAAGGCAGGCGGTCCATGAACCTGGTGCCATTGTCAGCCACAAACATCACTTGATATTGAATGTCACCTCACCCTAAGATATCATGAAGTTTAAGCATGCACTCTTTGCTGGGTATGATTTTCAGCTCCTCGTCCACAAACGGTTGATAGTGCTAGATATGCTTGGCGTGGTAATGGACTGTGTTGAACCACGAATCCCATCTTGTGAGCACAGGCTCTGGTGGCAGCGGCACAGTGCCATGTAAGCCCCCAGTTTGACTGGCAACAGACTTGGACAGTGCCTGAAGGCGTTCTTGAAAGGGCACCAGGCTAGCCACATCAGGGAACTGCATGTGCTGTATGTCACTTACTGAGGACAGAATGTGTACGTTGCAGGTGACATGAACAGCATTGGGCAACATTCCTTGGAGCACGTCGGAGAAAGCTTTGCACATGTACATGGCAGTGTCAGACAAGAATGCTGAAATCTTGTTAAAGTCTATGTCATAGCTGACAATTACCGTCACAATCGCTTGAGACACAGTAGAAAAATGGACAGATGTGAGGTGGACCAGCTCAGTTTGAAACAGGCAGGTCCTGGTTTGTTCAGCTCCCCAGTACAAATAAAATAAGCAGCACCTACTTATCTTGAGGGTTGTGTGCTTCATCATCCACAATGGATAAGGAGTCATACTCTGCAAAGGCAGACTTTTTTAACCGTACATGCAAAGCACTCACTGCAGGCAGATAGTCTTTTTGAAGCTTGTTGGTATGTGGAAAGCTGCCAGCATCTGGCACATTTTGATTCAGGTAGTAGCTTAAGTTTGAGCGATCAAGTTTCTCTAGCAGGATGTTCGCCATTGCGAAAACCTCCACAAAGGAAAAATCCCACCTCTTGCCTTGCCAAGCTGCTTTCTGTGGTCATTTTAAAGAGGGAGGACATGGTTTCTTGCTCTGACCTTCAGCCTCTGCAACAGCCTTCTGCTTTATGTATGCCTTGAACTCTTAAGTTTCGATCTACATTGGGTTTCCTCAACACATTCAGAGTTACATTGCCGGTGGCACAGAAGAGTGCCTCCATCTATGCGCAAGATCCCTTTAGGATACAATCTTACATCGTCTAGCGTTGAAACGTATTTGGGTGCCTTGGAGGATTCATCATCCTTGCTTCTCCTCAGGCTGCAGCATGCTGTAACACCTGCGGGTGCTTTAAAACCTGGTTCCCAAATCCTCCCATTTGCCTTTCTGGCTCTGGACTGGCTCCTGGACTGAGCCTATATCACTGGCTCAGCCTCTGATTTGCTCTCTCTCCCTCTTCCCCATGTACTTCAGCACTCCAGGGCTTCCCACCCTTTTCTCTTTCAGCTTTTTTTTTTCTCAGCGAGACTGCCAAAAGTGCTAAGACTGCTTTTTTGTGGAGCCCAACCAAAATTGCAGTTTCTGCAAATATCTAAAAATGAATGATAAATAATAGAAAATTAGGTTTGAAGGGAGTTTAGGAGGTCATCTAGTCCAACCCCCTGTTCAAAGCAGGACCATTCCCAACTACATCATCCCAGCCAAGGTTTTGTCTAGCCAGATCTATAAAAACCTCCAGGGAAGGAGATTTCACAACTTTTCTGTGTAACCTGTTCCAGTGTTGTACTGCTCTTCTAGTGAGGAAGTTTTTCCTAAAGCATGTATACCCTGCGAAGTAATGGCAGAGCTCCAGGACACCCGAACTGTGGATCCCAAGTGGGTCAATTTCTTTGTCAGTTGCAGCTCTTCCAAAGACAGTAGGCTGTGTTAGCTGTGCTTGTGACCAATGCTCCTTTAAGAAGAGTGTTCTCCATAATAAAAACTATCTGGATAGACCAGAGATATAGGATGAGATCTAAAACTGATACTTTTGTCACACTCTGAATTCAAGACAGCTGCAGGAAATTGTGCTGCAGACAGCAGCAACAAAACCCAAAAAATATGCCTTTACGAAGAGCTATCATCAGAAATCTTAGTAGGGAACATTCTGTTGCACTGGTCCCTACTTTAGCAAATGAAAAGGTGGGGAACCATATCAGTTCCACCCACACACAGCCCCAAACCCTCTCTAACCTTTACCCTCATCCTAGCTTGGGATGCTCCAGCACTCCCTAATCTTAGCCCAAGCAGCAGACCTCTACCAGTCTGAACATAAAAATGAGACTGGAGACTTGCTGAAACTGTTAGTGTGAATTACCAGTAATGAGAAAATTATGCCATTAGAAGGGAGGGAAGTTGTGAGGGCAGCCACTAATCTTTACTGTTTATAGAATCAAGGACTGAGTGAATGTATGGAAGGGATTTCACAATGAGCACTATTCATCATATTTATTAAAAGAGACAAGGATCATGCGGAAAAATATAGGTGCAGTCATGTAATTAAAGGTTATATCTTAATGCATAAGGGAACAAAATTAAGTTTTCAGAGGCAAATTAAAGTCTGGCATTTCCTAACTTTTGAGTGCCTGACTTTGCCACTTTAACGTCTTTCAGATATAGGATTTTGTATGTAATGCATATTTTGAGTAGGTATATCAGGTAAAATGGCCTTTGAAGATGCTCCCTGCCCTGGGAAACTCATTCTAAGGTCAGATAGACAAGTGGACGCAAGTTAGGGAAGGTTTATAGATAGGTTTTAATACAGATCAGATTTAGATAAATGTTTTTTTCATAAAAATAATCTGTTGAATGTTGTAATGCCCTTTTCCAATGGCCAGCATTCATCCCTCAAGAGTACAGAGCAATGGGCCAATGTGTATATGCAATTATTCTTCTGATGAGGAATTAAAGAAAGAAATAGATTTTGAGTTCTGTCCACAAGGGGTCATAAAACCAGGGGGGGAAACTATTTGCTATTATCCTTGCTAGTCATCAACATGGTGGCTGCAGTACACCTTTTGAGAGCGCCAGAAAGGATGAGTTAGTAAATACCAGCTGCTTTCTGCATCCAGCTTCTGCTACTAACAAGCTTCCTTGGCCTTGCTGCTTCCCCAGTCTCAGTCGGCGCAGTGTGCAGACCAGCCCTTAGAGATGATGTCATTTTATTCTTGGTCCAATGAGGAAAGCGAAGTGCAGGCTCTTTTGTGTGGCCTGGGATTATAACTGGGGCTGCGGACAGCATTGAGGGGATTGAGCATACAAGTGCTGTATCTCAGCTCAGAGAGAAGTGTTTGCTGTTGCTGCTGCTGCTGTCGCTGCCAGTCATCAGAATGACTCTCCAAGTAAGAGTTCCTGCTTCTCAGGGAAGTGAGGATGGAGATACACTGAAGTGACCATGGGCAGTGCCTTGCTGCGACAGTGCAAGTCTTGGCAGAACAAAGACTACTATTTCAAATTGTGGTTGCCTGGCAGCACAGCCAGTTACTTTTTTAAGTCAAGGTGCTTAAATGGTGTGTGATGTATGCAGGGGAGTTAAAGTTTCCTGTTTTGCATTCGTTATTCATTGGTTTATGCAATTTCGGGATGGATAGGAGCACGCTTGCTTGAAGGGTGAGGTTTATTTGGTATGTGCATTAGTTTGCTTTGTGAGTTGCCTGTATTTGCTTTGAATGATGCACTTTTATATACTGTGTAAGTATATTTGAGAATGCCATTTCTTTTTAGGAGTTGCTTAATTATGATATATTTAGAATTATGCAAAGAGACAATTTTCCAAACTTCTAAGTTATTGGGATGTGCAGTTTTGGACCTAAGATTTTTTTTTTGAGGGAATAGCTAGTAGTGCATCATTATTTAGATGCGTGCATTCTTCTTGGGGTGGGGGTAGTATTTGGAAGGGTACATGTTGGTCATTGGCAAAATTCAACTGTCTCCTCTCCCAGTGCTGGATCTGAGGTGTTTTTATGAAGCCAGCCCCTGCTGCTGGTTTTCAGCCTCCTGTCTTTGCAGTCATATGCATGCACTTTCCTTTTTTGCCCATATCCTGAGACTCAGCCAATTTTCTTCTGTTAAGTCCCTTGTCCTCTCTCCAAGACTTGCAAGCTCTTTCATCTCTAGGGTTACCATAGTTCCAGCTCCAAAGACGAGGACACCTGTCGCGCGGGGGGTATATGATTGTGGGGCGGGCAGTGATATGTCGATGCCCTGCCCCTGCCTATGCCATTTGCACTCACTCCCAAGTCACAGCCCCCTCCAGCCCTACTGCTGCCCCTCACTCCTGACCTGCAGTACCCTAGAAACAACTGGGCCATGCTGGTGCCCATCACTTCTGACTCACCTTCCCCTGGCACTTCCAGCGTCCCGCACTCCTGACCCAAAGCCCCCCACCCCCCCGGTGCCCCTCACTCCCAAGCCACAGTCCCCCCAGTCCTGCTGGTGCCCCTCACTCCTGACCTGCAGCCCCCTTTCCCCCAACAGCCCTGCAGCGTCTTCCAGCTGCCCTGCCCCTGTGAACAAGGGCACCAGCTCCAGTGCCACCAGAGCCGTGCAGCTCCCTATTGCCCCCAAAAGCCCTGACCCCTAACCCAACTGAAGGAGTAGGTGACTCCTCCGCTCTGCCGCAGCCCCAGCACCCAGACAGCTTCCCCCTGTGCCAGCAGGCACCCACCCCGCTCACACACCCATCCCCTCCACACACACACACACACACACACACACACACATGCATGCATGTGCCCCCCACTCCCCCCAGTCCCTCAGACAGTTCCCAAGCCTTGGCCCCCCCACAAATGTACCTGCATGCAGCTGCTGGAGCTGCTCCCACCACCCTGCCTGGCTGCATGCCAGCCATGTGCATGTATGTATGCATGTGTGTGTGTGGACATCCATGTGGTGCTCCCTGCCTACAGTTGCCCTCCCCCAACTGCCCCCAGCCCCAAGCAGCTCCTTGCTAGGGGAAGCCAGGAAGTGCCGGGAAAAAACTCTGAAGCTGAGCTGGCAAAAATCCTGGACATTTGATTATATTTTTTTTTTAAAACACCCAGATGGAGAGCAGAGGATCCAAAAAGAGGACATGTCCAGGAAAACTGGGATGTATGGAAACCCTATTCATCCCAGTCCTGTTCTCAGCTGGGTTGGTGCCAGCGTGGTGCCCAGCAGAGGTATTAGCGATGGCTCTGGGTGAGGTCACGGCAGTAACAACCTGCCCCAGATGCTGGGAGTGCATTGTCAGAGAGTGGAGGTTCTGTCCGGGCGAAATGTTAACATCCAAGTACCTGACTGCAAAAGAGCTGGTGTGCAGTGATGTAATACAGAAGAGGTTTGTGCATGTCACTGCACTTGAGAAAACTAGGAACTTCTTTCAACACAAGGTGAACAGCCAAAGCCCAAACCTAGTTCTGACACTTTTAAAGCCAGGATTTATCACTACTCAGCAGTAATTGCCCTTGAGCAACTGGAGCTGGTTGTGTAGCTTCCCTCACAATGAATGGGTAAGGTATCTCCCCCTTACCACACATGTACAATTACTTGGGAGTACAATTTAGCTTACCTCATGGTAATTTGCTGTACCTGTAAATGACTAAATGCAGCACTGTTCTAACAGGAGAATGAAGAATAAAGGTTAGGGGGAAAAAGTAAGAAAAGGAGTAAAAGCCCCAAACCTTTCAAGAAAACAAAAATCTGTTATCAAATATGGAACTGTTACAAAATACTTTCTCCCAATGTGGTTTTACATATAGCAGTATCTTTTAAGCAATATAACATTAAAATTATTATGGATAATAATTCATACCCTCTTTTTTTCTCACAAATCTCTCTTCTATGAACATGTAGGAAAGATGAAAGATGAAACAGAACTATCAGTTCAAGAAAAAAAAAGTTTAGACCATACTTGAGTTTGTGTTCTCCTCATATTTCATATCGGGAGATTATCAAACATATCACTTCCAGGTAAAGAAAGAAGTCAAGTTATTCATTATATAATTGTGCCAGACTTGAGGTAAGGGTTTTGTTTGTTTTAGCACTAAGAATGAGGATCTGTGGAGTCCAAACGGCCTTCATTTTAATGTAGCAATTTATTCCAAAGGCAGATGATCTTGCCATCTGCACTGTAAGAGTCTTTGAAGTTCTGCCACCAAGGCCATAACATTGCATTGCCTAAAAGCTAGTTCAGCTGTTTCGGTTGTACTATTCTCTGCATTAATTATTTATGCTATTCATCATTTGATTCAGTATTCTAAGAGAAATTAAATATTCTCTGGCCTTTACCTGCTGTAAATAATGTGAAGTGGCAGGGCCATGGTCAAAATGAAAGACATAGGGCTAACTTTATGCCTGACAAAAGTTCACTAGACATGAATTTGTTCTTTTGTGTAGAGTGGTAAATCTGCTTATCATATACAAGATTTTAAAAATCTTAGGTGCTGGAAACCAGAATTGTCTTGATCCCTTCATGTTCATATTTTGTACCAATTATTATTACCCATTTAATATCTGCTTCCACAATATCAGTCTGTTAATTTGTTTGTTTTATTTTTCTATGGGCAAGTGAGAGGTACCTTAGCATGTATGGAGGTGAAATAATCTCTAACATCCTATGTGGATGTAACAGATACTTAAGCTGTTTGTCCTGATGTAATACACTGAAATATTTTAGCACCATCATGGGCATAAGATACATTAATTTAAGACTTCCCTTGATGATAGAGAGACAAACTACCATAGGTTAATTTGTGCTTACTGTCAGGTAAAGCCATGGAGCAAATTTCTGCCCCTGTATATCTTTCAGTTATTTGTTCACATGCTCATGCTCCCATTTTTCATTATGCTGAGAAAATTGTGTTTTTGTCCATCGTTCCAAATCACACCCTCAAATAATAACTCTCTTTACTTGCGGCCCACAGAATTCTGATGCCTTTATACATATATTTAAAACTCTTTATTGGGATTTTGGGGTATGGTGCCCGGGTGGTTAAGGCATCTTGCTACTGCTTCAGAAGGATGAGGTTCAGGCTTGCTGTGGGCTCATGCTGAAGGCCACTCGCAGTTGGCCTAGCTGTAAATGAGTACCTGGTTGTTCGGGCTGAGCAGTCAAAGGCAAATGGATGCAATGCCAATGTGTATGGTGTTGGCTATATAAATCGGCACTTGATCATGCTGACCCTATGGATCACTAGGCTCAGGATGGACTCTTGACCTTTTTGATTTGGGGTTTTTATAAAAGTTAAATCCAGAAATTAGATCTAAGTACCTGGGGTTACAGGTTTTTTTACCTAAAGTAAACCACTGAGTCAAAGGACGTAAATCATCTCTGTGGTAACCCTACCAAAACGCATACTTTATCCAGTGAATACACTGCAGTGTTACAAACAAACTAGTGGCAACGGATGCCTAACCAGTCATTAATATTGTCCATGGGACAGAAAGAAAGCTACATCATTATATAAACTACAGTTGTTCAGTGGGCTTATAAAGAATAGAAATCATTTTGTGGTTTGAACCATGACAGTTATTACCTAAATCTGCTACTATGTGCCTGGTTCTGCAATGCTTTGGAAACCAGCACTGGTTTGTTATATTAGGACTAAGCTTCTTATTTAACTGGAGGATTATTTGTTATTAACATTCTGCACTATAGAGATGTCTTTTCATTTCTAATACCCTCCGGAGAAATCTCCTTAACTGTGTTTTTACAAATATCTGTGCCTTGTGCTATAGAGGAAGTAAACCTATATGATCATAATGGTCTCTTCTGGTTAAACTCTATGAACTGCAGTTTAATGAGATGCTCATCCTTAGTAATAGGACCACATTTCCACTTTTTATGTGGTTCCCTATCTTTACATCAGGATAACATGTTTTTCTGTCCCTAGTATTGTCTCTTTAAGGATCAGCCATCCCCCTAACTCTTTTTTTCCTCTTGATTACCATGGGATCCTACCCACCAGTTACCTGAGTTTGCTTTTCTGAAGTATAGTATCAATATTCTGCTGCTCTCCTTCTTTCATTCCTTCCTTCTAATAAGCAGTAAATCTAAGAGAGGGGGAACTCCAATGGATGCTATTCCCAAAATCACTGGGACTCAGGGCTATCCTAGGCAGCAAGGTTAGATGAGTCAGTCTCCTTGTTGTACCTACTAAGGCTTAGCCACTGTGGACATCTTGGGTGCTTGTACATGTGATACCATTATTGTGTACATGTGACGAAAATGTCATTTTGTGCGACTTAATGGCATCACACTGTACACATGCAAGAGTTTGGGGGTTTTAAATTAGTTTGTCATTGCAAACTAAACTACATCCTGATGCAAATTGCAGCTGTCAGCTCACCCCTCGGCCATGGG